ATTTGTGGGCATGGGCTATGGGAATAGATCACTTTTGGGGGCTGGTCCACAAAGTAGTGAGTAAGTGAGATAAGGAAAGATGATATTGTTTAGCCCAGTGCTATGTGTCAGGCACTGTAGTTGTCCCTGTGAAGTCAGAATCTCTTGGGACAGGTGGCTGAGAAAAAAACAAACAAAAGTAAAACAAGAAGCATGCAAGGGAGATGATGTTTTATAACCTGTTGGCTGGTTATCAGGCATAGGCACTGGAAATGCACTGACACATGCCATCCGGTGAAACCACATTAGAACTCTTTGAGGTCGAAATAACTAAGGTCCCAAAAAGGAAACTTGCCCAGGGATGCACCTGGGCTGTCAAGATCCTGCCTCTCCTGTCGGTGTCTCAGGGCTGCTTTTTCCTCTGAGTGGTTATGAATAAAGGAGCAGCAGGACATTGCCATCACCTCTGAGGGATCTGAGCATAGGAGTGAGTGACAGTAGACGTGGGCTATGCGAGGAAGAGACCTCAGGCTCCAGTGAAATCAGAGTGTCCTGAGGAGGTGGTGCACATTGGATGGAACAGGCATGAGGCACTAGTGGCATGACCTTGGCGAGTTAGTGACTGACCTCTCCGAGCCGCAGTTCCTTCCTGGAAAATGGGTTGGATGATCATCCAGCGCCGAGTGTTTCATTGAGGGTTAGACAAGATCATAGACAAGATCATACGACTCAAAGAGCGTGACCCTCAATACGGGGCACATTTAAGTACCCAAACAAGGCAAGTTTTCTTCCCTTATCCCAGCTCCCCACTTTCTCTCTTCCTCCTTTAGAAAGAGTTGTTTTAAATAGCTATCTGGATTTTTTTCTGCACCACTTCAAAGTCAATGAAAATCAGCTTTAGCTTCCTTCTTTATCTTACTTCCCTCTTAATACGCATGGCCCCGGGGCTGGGTCTGAGGCTCTGTTCTCAACCAGGGAGCACAGGGCTGGGCTGCTGCTCTTGGTTTCAGTACCTTCTTCTCCCAGGAAGGGCCCTGGTCCAGAGGTTTGCAGTGGCCCCCCATCACTTCAGTGTGTAGATACCTTGCTACACGTATCTGCCCTCCCCTGGCTGCCCAGATCTCACTGGGTATGCAGCTAGCTTTTCTTCCTGGGTGGGATGTGGTGGTGACGAAGCAGCCACTGGTTGAGGGCTGTTATTCATTGGGAGTTTTTTGATTTCAAGACACAGAAACCAAACTTGAATGAGCTTAAGCAAAAATAGGATGCACAGCTCATGCCTCGTATACCAACACTTTGGGAGGCTGAGGCTGGAGGAACGCTCAAGGCCAGCAGTTCGAGACCAGCATGCTCAACATAGCAAGCCCCTATCTCTACAAAAAAACTTAAATTAAAAAGGATACATTGGAAGATTTCAGGAGAGGCTCACAGATTTGACAGAGGTGCGAAAGAAGCCCCAGGAAGATAGCATGTGACCTCCAGCATCCCCAGACCAGAGTCCCCTATTCAGTGGTCCACGGCTGCAGGCAGCTCCCAGCTGACCCCACACAGCCCTGCCACCAACCCGGGAGGACCAGGCCTTCCCTAGGATTTTTCAAATTGGAATTTGGCCTGGCCTGGAGCATGTGCACACTCCTTGTACCATTGCCAAGGAGAAAAGATGCTCCAATGGGCCTACCTTGAGTCCTATACCCTCCGTTTTGGGTGGAGAGTGGGAGATGGGGTAGATTCTGTTATCAGGAGAGAGAGAATGCTAGTAATATTAATAATTAAGTGTAATACTCACTTTTATTGAACTTACTTTGTGCAAGACACATCCTAAGCCCTTTACCCGTATAACTAATTTAATCTTCATAATCAACCCATTTTACATACCAGGAAACTGAGGTACAGAGAAGTTAAGCAATTTGCCCAAGTCACATAGCCAGTTAGGAGGAGAGCTGGGATTGAACCCAAGCAGAGGGCTCCAGAAGTGCACTTAACCACCCACTCTGATGCAGACAATAACAGACGTCACCTCCACACGCCTGCTCTGAGCACATGATGGGCTAAGTCCTTGATAGCATTATCTTATTTAATCTTTAGAGAAGCCTTGTGAAGTGGGTACTAACATCATCCACATTTTTAAATAAGAAATTGAGCCTCGAAGAGATGATGTGGTTTGCCTGCGGCCACCCAACTAATTTAAAGTGACAGAGCTGGGATAGGACCCTTGTGTAGGGCCCAAGTTCTTCACAGCCTCACTGGGCTGCCTTGCATTTAGACCTTTCTCTTGCTCTGTCAGAAGCTCACCTGGTCTGGCTCAGCTCCCGAGTCTTTGTCCACTGTCTGGGGAGGGGCTGGGATATGGAGACCCCCGCCTGCTGCATGCTGCTGAAGGGCCAGCTGTGACGTTTGAGCTGGTCTAATATATCTCACACTGACCTACACCAGATGGTTCTTGAACATATCTTTACTGCACTGGAACTCTGAGTTTGTTCATTTCTTCATTCAACGAATATTTACTGAGTGCCTGGGGGTTCTAGGCCCTGTCCAAGTGCCTGGGGTCCCTCAGGGAAGAGCTTAGACTTGGAAAACATCCAAGAGGAAGGTCCCCCGAGTTCCTATCCCTTGGGCCTGTCATGTCCCACTCCATCTCACAGGAAACCTTACCTGTATCACCCAAATCGGGTCCACGAGGGACCAGAGACCTCATGCTTCTTTGCTTGGCGCTGGCCTGATGGGAAGTCCAAGGAGAGACAGCGTTTCTTCATTCTGGTTGATTACAAAGAAAAACATTGTGTCGGGGAACGAGCATGGGCATGGACTCAGGCCAGCCCCATTGGGAATCCCAGGGCTGCCGGGGTCTCTGCTAATCGAGACTTTGGGTGAGGCACTTTGCTGTGCCATGCCTCAGTTTCCCCCTCTGCAATGATACTGTACTACCTGTCTTAAAGGGTTGCTGGGAGGATTTGCTGAGGTAACAGTGTTAACTACCAAAGCCAACACCTCTGCACGGGTTAATCCCTCCTCTTCTTATAACAACTAAGTAGTTTTGTCTCTAAAATAGTCGGGGTACTGGAGGGAGGCAGCTGAATGGGGTCCATGGTAAGGAAATCACCAATTGCATCAAGCTCCTCATTTTACAGATGAGGGAACAGAGGCCCTGGCCCTCAAAGGCAGGAAAATATTGGGCTCTAGGACCTTCTAATTTGTTGGTGTTACAGGGAGCTTAAGGTGTATTTAGTTGTGGGTCAGACAGAGAGTGCAAGTTGGTCCTTTGAGTGGGCATCTGACTGGTGGTCAGCCCTTGTAGCCTGGTCCAGTATGGACCTACCTCCAACCTACCGTGAAGACAACCCAAGCAGAAGCTTAAAGAGCCCTGTGTGGCTGGGTGTGGTGGCTCACGCCTATAATCCAGGCACTTTGGGAGGCCAAGGTGGGTGGATCACCTGAGTTCAGGAGTTTGAGATCAGCCAACATGGGAAAACCGCATCTTTAAAAAAAAAAAAGTGTGTGTGTGTGTGTGTGTGTGTGTGTGTGTGTAAATAAAATATATGAGCCCTGTGTCCCTGCTGCTGGTCTCTGCAGTGCCCTAGGGTGGGTAGGGACTTCTGTTCCTGAGATCTAGAGAGCATGATGGGATTCTGCACCAGGATGTCCAGCTCCCCACCCATGGCTCCCAGAAGCTCCCCTTGAGAAGCAGCGGGCAGACAAGTCTGGGCCTCCAGCTGCTCTGACTTCTGGCTGGAGGCAGCTGCACAGAGCCTGCAGCTCAGGCTGATAGAATGTGGCCCAGGCAGGCCGGCCTGTTTGTCAGCTGGCACAGGCTCCGAGGGGTGTGGGCTTGATAATGATGATGACAGGCGGGCAGGGCTGCTGCTTCTGCCCAGGTGGCCACCTGTGGAACTTGCCAGGCTCGCCTGGTGTGTGTGCCCCCTAGGGCTTCGCTCAGAGTTGACGTCCAGAACACCTTCCCCTCGGCTTGGTGGGAAAGGCCATGAGCACTGGGGCAGCCAGTCTCGGGCCCCAGTCCTGCCTCGCTGTGGAGTTTGGGCAAGTGCTGTCTGTCCTGTAAGCCTCTGTTGGCTGTCTGTGAGGAGCCACTGAGAGAGCACGCGCAGTCTCTGCCCTCGATGGTTCCAGGTGTGAGCAGTACACAGCACTCTGTAGGCCCTCTCGCATTAACAGGCTGGGAATTCTCAACAGTGAGTCCTACCTCCCAGTGTGCTAAAGATGTGTGTTCTTTGTGTGCGAGAGAGAGAGAGAGAGAGAGAGTGTACATGCAGGCCCACCACTAAAGTGTGTGTATACCTCCCTGGAGTATGAATATTGCCTCTTATAGATGTCAAATTTCACACCTGTGCTAGTTTTTGTCCCATTGATGCTACCTCTGAAATATTTTGATTTGTTTTTTAATATGAAGTAAATCATTAGAAATATTTTGTAACTCTGGGTTTTGTTTTCCAGACAGGTGTAGAGGCATTTTCTGCAGAAGCAATAGGATGTCACCAAATGATGTGGGTGGTCACTGGAAGCCAAGAGAATAATCAGTTTAGGACACTCAGCCATGATCAGCGGGTGCCCTTTCATAACTCCGTAGTTTACTCAGTGTTGGAAGATAGGACCCGTTTCACACTGGGGACGTGTTATCAAGTTTTACACCTGCTTGATTACTTTCATTGTGTCTCAAGCTTAGAAATCCTGACACTTTCTGTGTTTACTAAAGCAGCGAATAAAGCATTGTTTTCCAGATACCTCCTCCTCCTCAGCAAAGTCTTTGTGCAGAGGTCTGGTAAGCCCTGAGGGTGCCCTGGCCGTAGCCAACAATAGAGTTTGTTTAGCCGTCTTGCTGTTCCTTTCTTCATGGGCAAAACGTGTTGGAGCACAGAGAGAGATTCTCTGTCCATTTCCTCTTGCTGGGTGAAGTGTCCCACAAGGCAAAGTGCACGAGTACGTGCACCCTCTTGGCGGGGACTAGAAAGGAGGCATAAGCTGAGATGACATCACTGACATTCATTGTTGGGCTCTTGTTTTTTAAGGAACATGGCAACCGGTGTGTTTCTCATCCCGGAAGGAGAAGACTTTAGCCACTGTGATGCCTGAGAATCCAGTGAGTAAGTCACAGTGGTGGATCTTGTTTACCATGGAGTAGCTCCTAGGGGCTGGTCCTAGGCTTAGGAAAGCGTGGGATGTTCCCCTCATCCTGGGGCAGTTTGCCGTGCCCAGGGTGCGCTGTTCCCGCTGAGTCAGCACCGCCTCCTCTGCACTCCCCTAGCGCTGTGTTCATGCTCAGATACACCACTGAGTTAAGGTTTGTTCTCCTGCTTGTCCCACCCACCAGTTGTGGGAGGCTTGAGGGCAGGGAACCAGGCTCCAGCCTTCCTGTCTGAGCCAGGCAGCTCTTCCCAGCAGGCACCGTACCAGGCACATCACAGGTGGCCAACAGCTGTTTGTGGACTCAAGGAGCCTCAACCCCGAGGTTTGATCAGGGCTTTATGGTCCACGAAACTTCATCACAGACAGTGTCCCATGGGAACCTTGTGCCCTGGGTGGGGTGGTCATATTATCCTCGTTTATTTTATAGACATGGAGGCTGGGGTCTGAGGAGTCTGATAACTTGCCCCAGGTGGTAGGCTAATAAGGGCCCAGGACTCATCTTCTTGTGTTCCAGGCTAGCCTGGTTTCTGTAATGTCAAACTTTATAATTAGAAAGGTTGCTTAGAGTAAATCCCTCATTGCCAAACAGGGAGACTGAGGCCTGAAGGGACTTTCTCAAGGTAACAGGATGAACTGGTATCCAATGGAGCACTGAAAGGAAGGCCCTGGACTTCCAGTCTGGTGTTTCGGCACCCCTCATCCCTTCTCTTCTGCTGTGCTTCTGTATACAGCAGTCAGAGAACATTTTGGGACCATAAATCTGTGTTTACAGGAGGGTGAAGAACTTACAGAAAGCCATGAGTTAAGGGAACATAGGGATGAATCAATCACCCTTCTCTCTGGGAGCATCCCTGGACATGTGGACCCTGGCAGGGACTTGAAGAGGCTCAGTTTAGTTGTGGGAGGAAGAAGGAGGAAGGTGAGGGTAAGGGGAGAGCATCTGGGCCCAATCCAAGAAGCTGAGGCACGGGTGGAGGCCCCGGCGGAGGGGCAGCCGGCGTGTGTGTCAGGGCATTTGGCAGCTGGCCTGGTGGGTGCTAAGGGACCACGTGGGGGTGAGGAGTCCACGGTGAGTCCTGAATGGCAGGATGACAAGGGGTTGACTGGTCATCAGGGAAAGCTGCTCCACGAGTTCTCATTCTTAGGATCTGAGGAAAGACCCAGGTAAAGAGCTGATTGGCCAGACTGCCACAGCTTGCGAAACTGTCCCCTCTCTGGAGAAACAGAATACATAGTTTGTCCACAGAGGAGGGCCGGGCGATGAACAGCGAATTCCAACATTGTCTGGATGTGTGTGGGGAGGGGAGTGTGTGCCATTCTCGCTGGCACAATCCTTTCGCCCTCAAATGAGTTTTTGTTTTGTTCTGCTTCTGATCGAACACACGCGCTGTTGTTCTCTCTTCCCTTCCCTCCTGGCTCTTCCATTCAATCCAGGCCTGACCCAGGGCCAGGTGGGTCCTGGCTACTCTTCTGTGCTCACTCCACCCCTTCTTGCAACTTCCTGGACTTGAGGACTGGGACCGACTGCCAGCTTCATCCCTACTGGCAGGTTGAAACGTACAGTTTGCCCGAATTACAGAGAATGCGATGCTTGCCAAATAGGTGTATTGGATTAGTTTCCAAAGCATTCCCAGATGACACACTTCTCTAGGGCAGGGACAGGGTGTCACGTTGTATCAGTATGGTTTACACTTCATATTTCTTTGCACTTTACATTTTATAAAGGTCATTTCATCTTCATGATCAAGCAGGTGGACTTCTCCCATTTTACAGATGAGAAATTTGCCTGAGGCGGCTGTCACCTGCCCAAGGCAGTGCAGGTGTCTAAGGGCTGGGCTGGGACACGGCCCAGGCCAACTTTCTAAATTCCATGATGTCTCTCCTCTGCTAAACTCCAACCAGAGTAAATCCCTGGAGGGCCTGAGACATGAGAGGAGCTCAATAAACGCTTGTGGAATGAGTGAACTTTGACTTTTTTTTTTTTTGGCTGCCCTTAACCATAAGTGGACCCTCTTTGGCAGCAAACAGAACACCACTCTGTGGAAGATTTGAGTTTTCTGCCATGATAAGGACCTGGTGAGCTCTCTTCTCACCCAGCCTTACCTCTGGGAACTAGGTCATGCACACTGACTAAGTCATTCCTTGACTTTTACTCGGAGGTTCCTCCTCCCGAGTTGAGATGCTGTGTTAGACACTGATCTATGAAAGGTCCTTGGCAGAAGCAGGTCTGATTGTTTGTTGTCACAGACCTCCAGTGACCCATCTAATTGCCCCTGAATAATACCTGTGGCCCAAACAGGTCAGCCTTCCAGGCGGTTCATTCTCTCTCCTCTTTCCACCCTTCCCCCTCCAACTTTCTCTAGACTGAGGAAGAGGGACAGGTGTGGCTTACCTTAGATATGTAGGGTTCTGTAGGGTCAGGGGGGGCTACCTCTTCCTTTTCACTGACCTCTGAACTTTTCCATGTTTTGTGACAAGGACTAGAGAAAGAACAAGAAAACCGCGTCAAGGTGGGAAAGAATTCACGGGCTCCGGGAGGCGGTTACCAAAATATCTGCTGGGTCTGCTCTTTCCCTAAGTGACACTTAGGTCGTGTTTCTTAGATCTGCAAGGGATCCAGCCAGCCTCATTACTCTTGAGGCCAACAGAATAAAATGGAAGGAAGAGTGGGCTGAGGACAAGAGACCCATGTTCTAGTGTTGGCTGTCCACAGCTTAGCTGCATGACCTTGGGCGAGTCACAGAACCTCAGCTGCCTTCAGATTTCTTATTCAAGAATTCAGGGAAGGTGGAGGTTTGGTGGCATCTTGAAGAAGTCTCCTTGACTTCTGTGGTCCTGGTCCTCAGTGCCTCTGTCAGTGTGTCCTTGTGATTAGTGCTGTCTTCTCCTCCAGGTCACCTCCTCCTCATGCAGTCAGGATTTGCTTCCATAAGCACTTTCATCCTGATCTTTGTAGCTTTGCCAGCTCTCCCCTGCCCCACCCTGAGATAGGCCAGAGTGCAGATAAGAACTCCCTGTTGCTGTACTGGTCTCCTGCCAAGCAGCATGGGAGAAAACTCTAACTTTGTGAGATTGTTAGGGATCTAAGGAGTGAAAGTTGATTGGTATCAGAGGAAAGTCGGATTGAAGATTGTTGGGATTTTCAAGTCCTTGGTGCCCCAGGGTACCTGGATTGTACTAAGTTGTTTGCTCAGAGGATAGTACCTATGTTCTTAAGTATATGGCCCCAAGTTGGCCAGGCCTTGTGATCAGGGGTAACTGGATACTTTGGAGAAATAAAGGGAATAGTATTGGCAGAAAGTTGCTTGGTGAGAGATGAGAGATGTCTCAGGTGGACAACCAGCATGAAAAGGAGAAGGGCTAGGGAAGGTGGAATTGTCTCCAATATTTACAATTGGAAAGTATTAAAGCTGGAAAGAACTACGGGTCCCTTAATCCACTTCTCCCATTTATTAGTAAAGAAACTGCGGCCCGGAGACATGACTCAAGCACGCCCACAGAGCAGGCTGGTGGTAGAAGTGAGACAGAAGCCGAGTCTCCTGATTCCCAGCAAGTGGCTCTCTCCCCACTTCTATGTGGCCTCTTCACGTGGGTTCAGCCACCATGCCTTCCTCTTTTCTCTTCGACCCTGCACTTGAATGTCTCAGGTGTTAGCAGGGCCCCCACTGCTCCTACCTCATAGTTTATCAAGGCTGAATAAAACTTGGGCTCAACAGCATGGAAAGGTTGAGGCTTCTCGGGTGCAGGCTGTTTTGACTTGTACTTAGTGACTTCACACTGTTGAGTGGCCATTATTCTGTTTTATGACGTGTCTTGGGGTGAAAGATTAATTCAAAACAGGAAATGAAGGCTATATGATGACCCAGCCTTCAGAGGAGTAGACTCTTGTGGCTTTGCCATTCAGATTTACATCACATGAGCTTTGTTGGTAAGCAAGCCTTGTTCTGAGAACCTCCAGCAAAGGGCATGGACTGCACTGTCACTTGCTCTGAGAGGGACTCTTTGGGTGTGAGCTGGTCATCCCATCACTATGCTGATGACACATAAACCGGAATGGAAACCACTCACTATTTCTGTGGACCCCCATTTGGCCCAACACTTCCTGCTGAGCTCAGGGAAATGCATCTTAAGCTCCTTCCATTGGGCAAGCACTAGGTTCACACATATTACCTTGTTAATATACGTAAGCAGCCCTCTGAGAGGTAGGCGTGGCTATTTGTTGTATTGAGGAGAACATTGAGACAGATACAGGTTAAATAACTTGTCTATGCCCACAAGGGCCAGGACTCAAACACAGGGTTTCTGACTCTAAAGCCCTTCTTGGTTCCACATTTCACATGGCTCTCTGCACAGAGAAGGGAGGGCTGGGGGAAAATAGGTGAGGCATTGACTGAAGCGTCAAACATTTATTATGGGACTTCCAAATGCCAGGGCCTGGGCTTGGCTCTTAGAATGCAAAGGTGAGTAAGACCTAGTCCCTTTGCTCCTAGGACTTGTGGCCTGGCCTAGTGGCGGGACAGATGTCTATGATGACAGTCATAGCCCTCTGATCATCATTATAAAGAGCCACACAGAGTGCTCTGGAAACACGGAGAAGAGAGCAGCACACAGGGAAGGCTGCACCAAGGAGAGGCTATGAGGCTCGGGTATTGAAGGATGAACAGGAGGTTTCAAGGCAGAAAAGGAGGCAGAGAGTTCTCCAGGAACTCTCTGGTGCATGGTGGTGTGAAAGGGCCTGATTTGGTGTTTGGAAGTAAGGAGGAGGAGTGTGCATGTTTTCTTAGCTGAGGGTGCAGGGAATGAGACATTCATTCAATCGAGAGATAAGCTCTGGAGGGGGAGAGGAGGGGACTTCAGAAGTAGATTGCCAAGGGTTTTGCAAAACACTTGCTGCTAGGTGAGATTCATTGAAAGGAACATTAGCAGAGACCAGCAAAGCTTCTCCAAATATGA